TTAACTAGAAAGTGGAGGTCGGTAATATATATATGAAGAGTTTATTTTCAAAACGCGGTAAACACCATTTTAAAAATTTTTTAGAAATTGTGTGGTTTATTTTTAGTTTATAAGGACCTAGCAGACATTGTGTCCGAATATATGCTAAACGAAGTATAACCCAATATTTTTTTACTTCTAAAAAACATTTATTTTCAAAACGCAGTATAAAATTTTTTATTTGTTTTCAAAATGCGGTATTTAATTTTGACCAATCCGTGGCAAATGCATATTACTTCTGCTCAAGTGCAAATATTTTAAAGTTGCGTTAAAGAAATGGCGGATTGCGATGGACAAGATTAATGTGTTACCTAATATCCTATTTCACATAGAAAAAAAGATATGATGTATGAAACAAAAGAAAAGAAAAGCATTTCTTATTTCTAGTGTTCGTTTAAACTACCATGCTTTGTTTGTTTAACTGAACGAATTATGGAATAATGATAGATAATATATTAAAAAGGCAACTTAAATTAATAAGTTTAAATATATTTGTTACCTGTTTTTTAATGGAAAGCATTCAATAATAATACTTCCTTTTTATTTTTTGTTAAACCAACAATTGCTTTGTTGCAAATAAAATGAGGCTATTGCAGTATTTCATTTTTAAAATTTTATTTCGTTCAAAAATATAACGATGACTTTTATGTTATATTAATTGTCCATTAGTTCTATGGAGATTTAAAAATAGTGATCATCATTGTTACAACTACACAACACTAAAAAAATATTATTGTTTATTGTCCATATTTAACTCTCCGAAACAAATATAAATTTACAATTGCGAATTGTGAAATGTAATAGTTTACATTACTTTAATAAAACATTGTTTACATTCACATTATCAATAAAATATAATGACCAAACATTAAATACACATATTTGTTCAATATGTTAACTAAAATTAATCATTAAAACTTATTCAGGTCTTTTAAAGTTTAAAAACTTTCCATAACATCTTTATAAAATGGATATACCGCATTTTGCTAACAAGCTTTAATTGGATATACAGTATTTTGAAAATAAATACAAACTTATTGACAAAAAAAATAAATTTTTTTATTTAATAATATTTTATTTATTAACATTATATAATATACTTTATGTATATATACATTAAGAAACAATAATTTTTCCAAATATACGAGACATGTTGGTGTGGCGAAAAAAGTCAATTATCTCAATACCACAAAAATGGATAAACCGCATTTTGAAAACACACTCTTCATATATATATATATATATATATATATATGAAGAGTGTGTTTTTATATATATATATATATATATATATATATATATATATATATATATATATATATATATATATATATATATATATATATATATATATATATATATATATATATATATATATATATATATATATATATATATATATCAATCCTCGGAATTACGAAAAATGAGGTCGACAATAATTTGCCGACCTCAATCTTTTTTAGGTCGGCATCAAGTTGGCAAAAATTATTGGATACAAAGGTCTGACCATAAAATATAGAAACGAGGTCAGCAATTTTCGCCGACCTCAAACACTTTCAGATCAGCAGTTTGCCGACCCTAATTCCGAGGGTTGTATATATCAGTTGTGTACACTGGATTTTTAGATGTTAGAGTTTTGACACTTACAGGTATTGTGCAAACTCCAAACCTTTGTATGTTCATGTTTATGTCAAATGAAAATGTTTTGCAAAGAGTTGCGGTGATAAGAGCTTGGGGACAAAAAAACCCAATTTTTGGGCCCACCCAGCCCTTAACGTGGGAGCAACAAGTTAATAAAATAATTTCTTTAGTATTTTTATCTAAGTATATATTTATCAACAAATTTCAAATTTCATGCAATAACCTCTTAGTTTTTAGTTTTTAGTTTTTATGACCCTACAAAGTTTACAGCTCCCTCAAACTGAGGGGGGTTAAAACTTAATAAGTAGGCTTTCCCAGGAAAGGCGTGCGGTCGCACGCCTTGTTTGTCCACGCATAGAATAAATTTTTCTGACTAACTGACCACGTTTTATTATTATGCGTTTCATGAATTCGCGCCAAAACAAAGCTAAACGAAAATACCGCAAAAATGCAAGCAATATTAAAGTTAATAACAGAAATCTGTTTGTGCTTTAAAATTAAAAAATTAACGTTATATTAAAAAAAAAATTTATCTATATTTTATTTATTAATTTTTTTAGGGTGGTAGTTATTTTAGCTATGAAAAATCAAATCAATAAGAAAAAGATTAATGTTTAAAGAAAATAAAAGGACCTTTTAATGTAAAATTTGTTTACGACTTTTATCAGTCAGTAATACTTTAAAATTCACGATAGAACTATAAACAATTTTCAAATGTTTCGTAAATACATTTAAATGTTTAAATGTATTGATTTAAATGTTTGAATGTATTGATACGCAAGAAAACATGAAAACGATTGCTATTTATTTAAAAAATATG